TTTGACAATAAATACATACAAAAATTAATCTCTGGAAGCCGTAGCGATGTAAAAAGCACGACCAATCATCTGAGCCGGCCCGGCTAAAGTAACTGGATGGCCTACCTGCCTGTCAGCCTGTCAGCCTTCCATCTGTGCACAAATTTATCTCGTGGCCTCATTGGTCATGTGCGCGTTCGTGTGTGTTGGAGGAGGGGCTCTGTGAGGAAGTCTGAAGGAAGAGGCATATTTTTTCCGGTTGTGTATTTTCAAATTCTAGCGCACTCGAGCTGGTTTCTCCATTCTTACCTATCCTACCTTTAACTCTTTTTAGGGTGCAGCTATATGTTTTATTTATTTCAAAGTGGGCCCATTTTAATAATATTTTTTTTCCTTCAAATGTGCAGAGGACTCCCCAAGTGCTGTGTTTAATTTATTTTAAAGTAGGCCTGTGTATTATTTTTAATTCTCCTTATAGGAGTTCTTTGTTTCTTATTAGAGGTTAACAGTTTTATATAATGTAATAAATAGCCTAATAAATGCAAAACAACTGTAGTTTGTGTCTGATATAACAATAAATACAACTTTATTAGCTATCAAGCTATGAAATATGTTTTGCGGCTCCAGACAAAAAAAATGTTTTGGAAAAAGCAGCAAAATTGCTCTTTTGGTCAAAAAGGTTGCAGACCCCTGCCCTAGATGATAAACTTCATTACACATGCAAGCAGTTAAACAAACATCAGACTCACGTGAGAGAAGGAGGGCAGGTCCATGCTGTAGCCCGGGTTCTGCCTCAGCCACTCCATCAGACCTTTGCTGGCCGCCTCTCTGTCGATGGCCACGATCTCCGGCTGAGGGGGGGTCTGCGTGGGGGTTGGCGTAGAAGAGGAGGACGGTGTTGGAGGGCCGGCGGGTCGTTCAGAAGGAGAAGGGGACGGCGAGGAGGTGGAGGAGGAGACGGAGGAGTGGCTGATCACATCCAACCGGCCCTGCAGCTGAAAGACACACAAACAGCTGCTTTAACCTCTGAGCAGGGAGAGGGGTTTCCTCCTGCATCTTTTTGATATGACTTTTCCCCCTCACAGTGAAGCACACACAATCAGAGCTACCCTACGCCCTTACTCCTCCCTGCACCCACCTGAGTGTCGGCGAGGTGCAGTCCTCTGCTCTTGGTGAACTCAGAGTACAGAGCCTCAACGTTTCTCCTCCTGCCTCTCCTCCTCCTCAGGGAGTCATCTCCCCTCAGGCTCCCGTTAACTATCTGCCCCGTAACAGGGTGGATGAGCCCCGCCTGCAGGATCCCGGCCATGTCGATCCCCACGGGGCCCGAGAGCGGCGCTGTGATGGGGGGTGGAGGGGGCAGCTTGTGACCGCTGAGTCCCACAGCTCCTCCTGACCCCATGCCACTGGTGGTGCTTATTTCTCCGGAGGACTTGGTGAGATCTATGGCTGTTTCCTGCCAGCCGTTAATCAACATGGCCCCCGTGCGATGAGAGTGCGGAGCCACCACCGCAGAGGCACCACTGGAACTCGTGGTGGTGGCAGTGTGGCATGACGGTGCCGATTTCCCGCCTAATACCTTGGCTGCAGCAGCAGCGGCTTCATAGTCGAAGGACCTCCGCCCCCCTGCTCGTTTGAGCTCGGGGAGGTAGGGAGGAGCCACCAGCCTCTCCTGTAAGAGAGGTAAGGAGGTGAGGCGCCAAGCTCCGCGCCCGCATGCGCCGCCCCGCGACATGTACTATCAGAGTGGACAGGGTGGGTGAGGGGCAGACAAGATGGGAGAGAGATGATGTTTGTTAGACCCACATATGGACTGAGACACAACACAGCGAGGGCTATCAACCAGACCTGGGTAAAACATGAGGCTGACAGCTCAGCAGATTTTTTATTTGAATTTATATTTTCCTTTTGTTTCAAGTTCTAAACTTATTTAATCCTGCCTGATGTGTTTACCTCAGAGAGCTCGATTATGTGATTAGATCTATCAAAATCAGTCTCATGGGAAAACCTTAAAATGCATAACTTTAAGAATCTTCTGTTTCTAACAGTTTACAAAACTCAAAATATGCTTTCTTACTTATTTAAAAGGACAATCTGTCCTCTAGTCTATAGTGTGTAACATTGGGAATCAATCATGTTGAATGAAACACACTGTATAGATAATATTTCAGACCCTAAATTGGGTGTAAAGTTAATAAATACTGTTTCTATACATATGTGCCTTTTAAATCATTATTGCCCAAGTCTGATATCAACATGTATAATATCAACATTACAGACAAAACTTTACAAAGAAGAAACAATGGTGTGAGGTGCCAAGTGGAAAATTGCTCCATATTTAATTATTTTTGTATGTATAAACATGAATAGATTTTTTATGTGTTGAGCTACAGATCGAACAAAGGTTCATTCAATCGTGTGTAAAATATATCTACATAATGTTATTTTAGCATTATTAGCAAATTACAAAGAGTGGATTAAACAAAAATTAGGTTTATTAAAAAAAATGTAAAACCTATTAAAATTTTCTGGAAAGAGCAACACTAAATACATGAATACAAATATAATAAAAAGTAAAAGTGAAGAAGCACTTTCAGAGTCTGTTAGCTGTCCGGAGTCTATTAGCACTATTAGCTTTATTAGCCATTAGCATGGACACCATTTATGAACCATGGCATGAGATAGTGGAGATACATGTTGATGGATGACGAATGCATAGATATGTACAGCAGAGAGTTAGTTTCATACAGTAAGTGTTTCCCAGGGATGTTCTCACCTTAGGCAGCCTTGTGAGGGGGGGAGGTAGGGAGAAGCCCAGCCCGGCGCTGGTCTGCTGACCCCTGGCCTGGCTGGGGACGGAGCTGGAGGCGGTGGTGGTAGTGAGGAAGCTGGCTCGCTGGTGGTGCTGGGCGATGCTGGTGGCCAGGCAGGAGTTGGCCACCATGGAGCCGGGGGAGTCGTACTGCTCAATGGACGAAGGCCACTTCCCCTTAAGGATGGCGTGGCAGATGCTGTCCAGGCGGTTGATGATCACTCGGTCCTACGGGGGGCCAAACAACAGCATAGGCATTGGTCAAAATGGCTATACATTTTTGTTTTACTCAACACAATTAATGGAAATGTATCAACGTTCCACTAAAACCCCTGGGAGACGCATTAATAGAGTTAGGCGAACAAAAATTTAATTACATGGATGGATGCTAACGTGGGCTTGTTAAAAAACATGATTTCACGTCACCACCGCTAAGCCAAAGGCGGCTAATGTTCGGTCTGATGAATTGTAGTCTCGTTAGGTCACTTGTTTTCAACCGCAATTTTTATGACACAAAAGCTTCAGACATTCCCTAGTGGGGTATTTACTGACTCATATTTTGTCGTAGAACAAAACGTGAAAATCTCTTAAGCTCGTGTTAACCACATATCTTATTTCAGGCATCACAACAAAAATTCACCACTTGATTTCTGACTGTATAAAAATGTGGTCAAGTCAAAATGTTGCCTTCTTACAACAGAATAAATAACCTTTAGGTGCATGGTGATACAATATTAGGGGGAATAACGTTAAAGAAACCCTTACAGATACTGGCCTACTATAATGAACAAAGGTGCATTTAAAAAGAAAGATAAGCTCATTTCAAAGTTTTGCATTTCCTAAAAATATCTTTACAGATATGTTGGACACAATTGGGTACCTTGGGCCACTCAGAGAACGAGTAGAGAGCTTTCTCCTGCAGCAGCTGAGCGATGGTCGGCTCCCGGCTGTCGTGGAGGCTGTCGGGAATCTCACACACAGAAATAGGAGCCGCAAACCTGGGGCTGCCTCCATAGCCCTCCACCAGGGGCACTGAGGGAGAGGGGGACATGTCACAGCTCAACAACACGCCTGGCTTTTAGAAGCATCTCAATTTAATTTCCTGACAACCAGAAGGCAAGGATTAATACAACAGCCTTAATTAATAGCATCATGTGGGTCTTTGAATAAGTCGAGTAAAATCAATAGAAAATGCATTTAACCACTGTTATTTATCATTTCAGGCCATTCTCAAAGGAGATATTACTAAACATAGGCTGGTTTTATCTCTAAAAGGCGACACATTTGAACTTTTACATGTTTCTTAATAAAAAAATGCTATCTAATCATTTGTTTCCTGAGAAATGTGTAAGATAAATAGAAGAGATCAGTTGGTCTCTGTTAACACTTTCTGTCATTTTATAGTAAATGTATAGAGTTAATAAGATAATCAATGATAAATCAATTCATACATTAATAATTAGACAATGATTAATGGAAACAAAATTGGTAACGGAGAATTCGTATGAAATCCTCTTTAATCGCCACACACAAGTACGCAGAAACGCACAGTGCAAATGAGTCTCTGCCTTTTACCTATCCTAGTGTTAGGAGAAGTAGGCCACCATATTGTACTTCTACTCTTTATCATCCTCCTTAAACAATGATCTCTTTCTAAAACTCTGACTCCTCACCTGGTGTACTCGGCCTCTCTTCCTTCACTGGGCCTCTCCCCCCCAGACTCTCCGGGGCGTCCCCCAGCCCTTCCCCCTGCTCCAGCTTGGGGGTTAGGACGGTGCTGTCGGCCTCCAGCAGCTCCTGCTTGGTCTCAGCTTTTATCTCTGGTAAAGATGAGAAGGCCAGGTCCTCCGGCTTCGCCTCTGGTTTAATCTCAGAGCTGTCTGGGTAGTTAGTAAACTCCAGACCTTCTGACTTGGCTTCAGGCTTGATGGCAGACCTGTCCACAAAGGCTGTCGTACTCAAGTCCTCCGGCTCCGTCTCAGTCTTAACTCCATCTGGATAAGTGGCAAAACAATAAGCCATTGGTTTGGCTTCAGGTTTGATTTCAGAGTACGCTGCAAACTGGAGAACTTCTGGTTTCTGGTCTACGGTCTTCATTGACAGGCTGAGATCTTCAGGTTTGGTCTCCGGAGTTTCTGGTTTGACCGGATAGTCTAACTGCTCGGCTTTGGTCACCGAGTTCTCTGACTTTACACGGTAGGGAAGGAATCTTCCGTGTTTGAGCTCAGAGTTATCAGGGTAAACGTCCAAAGCTTCTGTCTTTGTTTCCTCTAACTTAACCGGCAGCTCTTGTGGCTGTTGTTTCTTCTCAGCACCTCTGTCTGGTAGAAGGGAGAACTTCAGACCAGATGGCTTTGTTTCAATGCTGTTTGAAGGTAGAGCCATTTCATTCTGCTCCAGGAGATTGACTTTGCTGTCCTGATCAAGGGAAAACGTCAGGACTCTATTCTTGTTTCTGCTGCCATCTGGCAAGTTCAGATGTTCAACTATGTAGTCTTCCTGATCAGTTTTTACACCAGAACTTTTTGTACTGGTGTCATTGGGCTTTAATGTTCCATTAGGAGTCGAGACAGAAGCATCAGGGCAGGAAGGTGGTGCGTATTCAGAGTAAATGCTCTGCAGCACCATCTTGTTGGGTTTGACGTCTTTCATTGGTGTTTCGTCCATAAGAGAAACGTGATGCCCTTCAGAGATCTCATCCACCTGATCCGCCAGGTTGGTGCACTCCACCGGACCCTCTTCCTCTCCAGTAGCGCTCCCCATCAAGGTGTCAGTGTCCAAAGAGTTCTCCATGGTCTCTTCCTCCACCGCCTGGTACAAAATGAACCCGTCCACTTCCTCTCCGGGCTCTTCAATCGACTCGGGACACGCCAGACTACCCTGCTCTTCCAGCTTCCCCAGATAAGGTGGTAACCCCTCTTTATGATTCTCATGAGGGTTTTGTTCATCTTGTTCCCCAAGGCTAGGGTCCGGCCCTATTCCGTCCATTTGTGCTACATCCATGGGCGAATTCGAGCCTCCCAAACTTTGGTCTGCATCTGTGAGGACAAACCATCACGATTTTTAGTATTGCCTGAAAATATTAAGATAAGTCTGACTTAAATTTCAAAATGTGTCTTGGATACATAGTGTATCTACTGTTGAGAGTTTAATGAAGGGCTCGGCTAAATATCAATATCCTGATGTGAGACTAGATATCATCTTAGAATTTAGATATTTAAATATTGTAAATGTTGTTTTTACTGCTTTTAAAGGCTGCATTACAGTAAAATGTAAATGTTATACACTACAATCCTGGAGTGGAGTGCACCAGATGGACGTAACTCTACGTCCGACGTAGAACCGAAGGTTAAAACCAAACTAAAGTTATGACTAGTGCACCAGTTAGATTTATGCCCTGTATGTGTTGCGCCTGGGTTTAACTTTTACGCCTAGTATGGAGCAGGCATAAATCAGAAAGACAGACTAGTATCCATAGTAACGTAAAACAGGCAAGAAGGTAAATAACGATGGCAGTGCGTCTTGTTTACAGGTTTAACAATGAAAGGGCATTAAGACGAGAAAGATTAGTCCGTGATCGAACAAACCCACTGGACATCTATTCAGTGAGCTGATAGAGAGGGTTCGTTTCGGCAGACAAGCCCTTTTTGATTTAATCGAGGAGATCTCCCCTCAAGAACAGAACGGATCAGACAGAAACGCTGCGCGCTCCCCAACCTTGCAGGTGCTGATTGCGCTCAGATTTTACGCTAACGGGCTGCTTTAGATGGAGAATATTATGTAGACGTGTGTTGCTTGGCAACAATAACTGTTTCGCGTGTATCGACGTGGACGCGCATCTTAAGACTAGGCGCAGCTACCACCGTGACTAGTCAGGCTTGAATCACTAAGTCGACGTAGCTAAGCCTGACGTTAGAGTTAAGACCTACTTTTTTACGCCCAGCTGGTGCACTCCACTTATTTACCAAAATATTTTGTCATTGTTTTTTTTGGCTTTTATGTAGGCCCTTTTTATAATATTTCAATATTGCTTATTTTGAGTGTCAACAAATTCAGTTTTTTTATTTGTCCCGTTGGATTATTTCATATGCTTTAGGAAGGATAATGACACTTAACCGACACTTTTAAGGAAACAGACATGTGTGTCTTTTGGCCACTGGTGTAAAATTAATTAGTTTTGGGATATATAGTAAACACTTATTTTAGACATACCTTGCTCTGGATCACACTCCTCTCTTCCCAGGCTCTGATCTCCTTGCTTCCCCAAGTTCTGCACCCTCGACAAGTCTTCCACTTCTTCTTCCTTGTCGTCAAACTCGAACCCGGTGCCCGCTTCCTGTCCTCCTGCCTCCTCATCCACAGGATTGGTCAGGCTCGCAGTGACATCAGAGTGTCCCAGCCTATCATGAGGAGCAGTGATGTCAGACAGAGAGAGGGGAGGAGGCGGGACGTAGGGAGGGGGGGGACTCGCTGACAGATCGGTCTGATCTGCGCTGGGTTCCTCGCTCACACCAATGTCCTGAAAACAGAACAAATTGTCAAAAATAAGATTTACTGGATTCTCTTAGACTCACAATACATCAGATTAAATATTGTAATTCATTTGATATGTTATAGTACAATTAGCACATTTTATTTTAAGTTCTTATGTTTCTTTAAAAAAAACATTTTGTTTTATCTTCTAATTGCACATTCTTATATAAAATTCTTATGTTTGTACAAATATTTGTCTTCTTTATTTATTATTATTTATTTTTTATTGTATTCTTAAATGAAAAAACTGTTGTTTTTCAAATTATTATTATTAATGTAATTCTTATCTAGATAAACTGTCACAAAAACAATTTTACCTGCGATACAAAAAGTATTCTGATGATTAATTAAGATTATTTAATGTACTTGTTAAAAAAAATACCAGTTTCAAAAGGTTAATCAATTATAATTTAAAACAAATAAAGTTTTATTCATATCTTTAAAGACTTGAGTCTGACTTAAGTGCATGCCTTTTCAATTATGTGATTTTGTGATATGCCACAAAATAAATATATACATAAATATTTGTATTCAAATTACCAGTCCAGTCCTTGTTTACTGTGTTGTTCTTTTAATTGTTGGTGTTTTTTCATATTAATAAAACATTAAAAAAAATCCACTGCTACATAATTTATAAAAAAATAGACGTCTAATTTATTTGCACACCAAAACAAATAGTTAAATGCCATTCAAATATTGACTATTGTTCTCCAGCACCAGTCTCAGCCCTGACCATTGAAGTGGGGGCTTTATGCCAATATGACCCACAAAATCTGCCTGAACTTTCTTCTACGTTTAGCTACATTTTTTCTTTCTACCTTACTCTTTTCAATACAATCCTATAAAAGTATGTTTATAGTTTGACATCTATCGTATGCACCACTTACTAAACATACTGTTTTCATATTTTAAAGGACTAACTCTGCCAGTCACTAATGTTCCCCTGATGGCACATGATACAAAACCTACCTTGAAGAGCATGTAACTGGAGGACAGCGGCTCCACAGAGTCTCCTGCAGAGGGGTGGGAGGGAGAGGATGAGGGTGGGAGGCCCAGACATTCCTCCAGAGTCCCCCCTTCCTCCCCTCCTCTGTCTCCCCCCTGAGCCTCCTCGTCCTCCTCCTCCAGGAAGCCGGGCTCCAGAGTGGAGGGACCCAGGATGGGATCGGACTCGTTGAACATGTGGTGAGCGGGACTGGAGTGGTCTGTACCATCCCAGGGAGCCTGAAGGGGGGAAGGTGATAAATGCAAATTATTATAAATACAATTTTCTCGTATTTTGCAGACTTAACAAATAAGGGGGATTTTTATTTGAATATCCGGGTTTATTGAATCCAAATTGAACAGCTGTTGTACATGTAGTTCTCTCATGTGGTGTTGCCAAAAGTTGTAAAGGTCGGTTCAAAACAAAAGGGTTGCGATAGATATACCTCTATATCCACTTTGCCTTGTTCTGGGATTAGACTCATTCCTGAAATCGCTTTGTGTGACAGCAAGCTATAACATATTACAAAAATGGTTGGGTTAAGACCCCTCTGATATTTTAGCTTGGTTTGAGAAACTATTTTGCCATGCAATATACGTTAGGAAAAACTCTTGATGGGTTTGTAAAGGATTGGTCCCCAATGTAATCTCTCATCTTAAAGGAGCCCTATTATGCTCATTTTACGATTCATAATTGTATGTTGTTCCTCTCCTGTGATATGTCTGTCTCCTTGCTTTAATGTTCAGAAAGCTCTTTGTTTCTCTCGTACTGCCTGTGCTGCAGCACCTCTTTTCACCCTCTGTCTGAAACCAGAGCCCAGCCTGCTCTGATTGGTTAGCTAGCCGGCTCTGTTGTGATTGGTCAACCGCTAAGAGATTTGTCGGAAATGTCCCCCCTTATCACATACAATGTGTGGAGCGCTAGCCAATATATATGTGTTACCAATATATATGTGTTACATAGTGATGTCACTATATTACGGAAGTGAACAAAGGAGTCCAATCGAGGCACAGGGTGGGAGAGAAACTCCCATTGGAGGGAACACAGGGATTTTTGCCTATAGTATGAAGACCATTTATACATGCACAAAAAACCTCTACAACACAATAAGGGGAAACCCAAAAAAAGCGAAGTAGGACCCCTTTAAATGTAGGTTCTTTAATTTATATAATCTAAGGACAGTGGAAAATAAAATAGTGAACACAAGAATATCTATTTAAAGCAAAGTGCGTACCTGTAACTGATCGAGCTCCACGGATGGAGCCATCAGCCCCGTCTCCTCCGAGGACCCCTGCTCCCCCACGAGCACGTCACTCCTCAGTTTGGAGTCCAGGTCTGCCCCCCCGACCCCGTACGAGTTGAGCATGCTCTGCCCTCCAGCTGCGGAGTTGAATGGGAATCCGTTGAGGGCGTCTTTGGAGGCCTTCCCTCCGTGCAGAGCGTCGGCCTCATGCTGCAGAGCGCCCAGCTCCAGAGTCTCATCCAGGGGAGGACAGTCCAGGAAGTCCCCCCGCGATCCAGGAACTATTCCCAGACTAGGTGAGGAGGAGTTGTGGGCGTCCAACGGTAGAGGGTGGAGGTGAGAGGAAGACGAAGGAGGCACAGGGTGATGGTGGTGGTGATGATGGTGGTGGTGGTGAGAGGACTGGTGGGGGTACTCGGGGGGCTGAGGGGAGTCATACAGGCAGCAGTGAGGATGAGGCAGCTGCGGGTGAGACGAGGTGGAGGAAGAGGAGATGCCTGGGTGTGTCACCATGCCGGGATGGTGAGGGTAGTGGTGGGTCTGAGGGTGGAGGTGGGAGGGGTGGCCCCTGACGTAGTTCCTGTGGGCCTCCAGGAAGCTCAGCTGGGGGTCGTTCAGGATGTAGAAGTCGGTGCGGCTCAGGCCGTGGCGCGCCGCCCCGATCAGGAGGTCGCGGTCATGTTTGCCCGACTCCCACCACACCGGGAGGTAGAGGGAGGGGCGGCACAGCTGGAGGCGGGCGGAGAGCAGCGGGTGACGGAGAACCTGAGGGTAAAATCGTGGATTTATGTGAAAAACTCATGTTTTGGTCACTGCCTTTGGTATATGTAACGTTTATCGCCATATTCAGACGATAAATAAATGTTTGAAGCTTGTAAAGACGGGGGTCAACCTCAGCGATCACTGTTTACTCTCACGCGTCCCTCCCTAAGTCTCCCTGAAACAGGGTCCGAGACAGAGATTCTCATCTGATTGTAAATAAAAACAATGATTTGGCTTTCAGAAAATGTAAATATGATCCCAGAATTCAGATGATAAATACAGCTTTGAAGCTTGAAATGGAACAATGACGAGCGGCCAACTGAGCAACTGAACGGCATAACAACAGGCAGTGTGTGCTGTTTGTGTTTCCTCAGAAAATACACCTAGCACACACACACTCACAAACTTTCTTGCGTCCTACGTAAGCCAAGTAAAGAAACATCTTTGATGCTCCTAGCTTAAATTGAGTTAGCCTAATCAATACGATACAAAATGTTTGTATACGTAAATGTATGTGGAACTGCAGGACGGAGTCCAGAAAAAATGTCCTTACGGGGACACTAAAGTATATCGTATCGTATTATGAGAGGGACATCCTGCTAACAAGCTTTGTTATAGAAAATGTTTAGTTTTTAACCCAGAGCAAATATCTGAATATTAAATACATAAAAATCTAATAACCTTCGTATTGTTTTACTTAATTAGTTTGCTTGTAAGGTGAACGTTTTTAGAGCACTGCCACTAAAGCTCCCATCATGCTTTTGGTGATGCAAACAGGATGCAGCATGTCAGCTGTGCGTCATCAGAGCCTTCAGCCTGAGGGGGTTTCTGTGAGACGTGCTATGAGTTTATTGGAAGTTTCTTGATACATGTATTGTTGTCTTTCGTAATAATACTTGCGTTAGCCAGTACTGATACAAATCAATCAAATGTTAGATATTCTTAGAAGACAAAGAGCCCCAAATAGAAGTTTACAAAAGAAAAATTGTTTTGAGAGGAATAAGGTTAATCTGCTTTTGAACAATAAGCATGAGTTGCATCAATGACATTTGGCCTAAGCGATGAAGCCTTGTTTCCACAGCTCACCTGCTCTCTGATCTTGCGCAGCAGCTCGATGCGGTACAGGGTCCGCGCCGCTCGCTCCTCCGTCAGAGGTTCCACCAGCACCGCCGGGTCCACCAGACCTGCAGGGACAGAGTGGGAGAGGGGAGGGAGGTCTGATCTTTATTTTAATTCAAGATAAAATAAGAAATGTTTCAAACTAACTCAATTCAAAAACTAAACAGCAAATTTGAAAAGGAAAATCTAAAAACAGTCCTCCTACCAGCAGGGGTCAGTAAAGTTCCCAAAGGAGGGACATGAGGTGGGCAGCTACAACCATAAACATTTGCCTGTATATAATGTAAATATATAATAATATAATATGTATTATATGATTTATTATGATATATTATATGATATTAAATGATGTATAAAACCAGCAGTCTGTGGATGTGAAACAAAGGAATACAGAGCTTCCTGACAGTGGTACAAATTAATTGAATTTAACTTTACTCTGAAACGCATTACATTGGTACCATCATTTATCCAATGTCATATATCTAAATGATCTGTATTTCTGTATATCTTACCTATTTTAAACCAGTGTTTAGACGAATGAAGAAAATGTGTTTGTATCATTTAGTAGACTTAAATATGTCTTTAGTTGTAAGGGCTTTTGGTAAGTGTTAGGTGTTTTGGAGCTTTTCATTTTTTTGTAAAATAATAAATCTTTCCAAATCTACATTTGTTGCAAATACATATATTATGAATAATTTCTGTTTACTTTTGATAGTTTATCAGGAAGTCTGACTTAACATCGCTCCTATATGTTTTATTTTTGTACTTGTATTCTTAAGCTGTTGGTCAATAAAATGAATTAAATTGAATGAATAAAATGACCACATCCAGGTTTTTTAGATTTAGTGCAGCTCTGATGTTTCCGTCAGACCACACCATAATGTAATAACAGCACGTTTACCTTCTTCCTTCCTGGCAGGCAGCTTGCAGGCCGCCCTGCACATGTTGACGAAGGAGTTGAAGTATCTCTCCAGACTCTCGTCCGTCTTCCTCTCCAGCCGGGCCAGCGCTCTGAACTGGGACCAGTCGAAGGACTTCCTCTCCGGGTCGTACACCACCCCGAAGGAGGACACCGTGCGGTAAAAATCTGCCTGTTCCCGACGAGTCCACCTGAAACAAGAGGGAGGGAGATGAAGATATAATGTTTCAGTTATCATATTCATGAATAACTTAAAAAATGGAGGAAATTCTAATGCTTTTATTATGAAGCTTAAAGAAGAAGGAAGCACAGTTCATCAATGTGAGTGACACAAAGAACGTCATGAAGTTGAAATACCTTGAATACTGCAATCTAAAGTGTGTGTGTAGGCCTCTTCCAATAAAAACATCGCAAAGTGTTAAAAAGTTTCCAAAAAGTTTGTGTTAAGAAGTAAAAATCTGAAACATTGGTAATATAAATTGAGAAAGGTGGAGAACTGGTAAAACTCATATTTATATTCTAAAGTTGTAAATGCAAACAATTAATAACTGTGTGAAACAGACCTCCATACATTTCAGAACATCAACTTTCTTTACAACATACTTGTTATGAAATGTGCTATCAACAATAACTCGACCCTGCCTTAGAAGGAACCAATATCGATGTTAAAAGTTGCTATAAGCTGAAACTGATAGTATGTCATTGATCATATGACCTTCTCTCTTATTTTCCAACATGGTTTGACAGCATTAAGCAAGACTTTCAGGATAAAAGCCCACAGAAATGCATATCCAAAAGTTGCTGAAATGAGAATAAAGTCATTCTTATCGCATATTTATCTTTAAAGGTCCTATACATGAATACTCATATTATTAGGATTTATCACTTTATCTTTTCTCTGAATTTCCCACCTTCTCTGCCACTCCAGGAACAGGGGGTCCGGTTCCGTGGCGACCACGGAGCAGCGCCTCAGCTCCTCCCCCAGCTGCCACGCCAGCGGGCCCCCGGCGTGGTGACCGTGAGCGCCGCCGGCTCCCATCGCCATGCCAACGAGACCGTCGTGCAGCATGAACTCATGCCGGAGCATTGGCTCGCGGCGCAGCGTGAAGCGCTGGAAGGCTGTGATGAGGCGGCGCAGGCGGGCCGTCAGCGAGGGGCCGGGGGGCCACAGGGGCCGCGCCTGGACCACGTGGAGGGACGCCACCCCCGTCCCTGTCCCAGCTGTCGTCGTCGTGGTAACCAGTGTAGCATCGTGGGCGCATAAGTCACCTGACATGTGGGAGTCTGTTAAGAGAATGACGTGCTATTTATCAGAGTAAGGAACGGACAATTTGATCAAATAGTTAGCACTATATAACGTTTGAAAAAGAAAAAGAGAAATACCTCCTAAAGGATGTCTGGATATTATTATTTTTATGATACAGGAACTAATAAATACCCGTGTTTCATTACCGTATTAATATTTAGGTTTTTCATCTTCTGGGAGTCTGTGGAGGGAATAAGAGATGGACATTTTGATCCTAATTTAGTATCCTTTTTGTCACTAAATTTAGCAAATGTATCATTTCAAAAGGGAAATAGCTATTTAAAACAAGGATGCCATTTTTTTTATTCTTACCGGTATTTCACTCTTTCCACCATCACAAAAAATGCCTATTTTACTTGTTAAGATGAGTTGTGAAAGGTTCAACTTTATTAAAACGCAAATCAATTGGTCCATCTTTAAATATGCAAATGCATATTATTTGTTCCCATACATATTCTGCCTTAAACTACATACAGAAAAAATGGAAAGATGATTTTTTACAATACTTTATCTGTTATGTCCCCGGTTCTGACCAGAATAATTGGTAACAAGGTATTAGTATCTAAGTGTGGATGTCATTTTCCACAGAGTGCTATTAAACATTTAGATGTTCATTAAATGTGATTGTACTCTCTGAAATGAAAACTTTAGGTGAAAGGTGAAATGGGTTTGGATATGATAGTTGTTGAACTGAATAGGTGAAATGGAACCCAGAGGAAAGAAATTATATCATAATTTCTAAAGAGATGTCTTAATCATCACAGAAAAAAATTAAATGACTACTTGAAATGATATAAAAGTGCCTTTAAGAATATAAATACGAACACATTATACAGATGTCCTGTTGGCATCAATTTACATATGTGTGTTGGAAACGAACATGTCAATATGTATTAACTTTATTACTACAGAGATATTATTCAATAAATAATTCATACATGATCATCGTTAAGACATTAAGTGTAAAATAAAGCCATTTGTAAAAGGAAAATAAATTCAAAACACAAGTACGATCAGGAAATGCTCTCGTCTATGTGTTAAGAAGGATTTGAAAGAAGACACAGATTCAGCAGACGCTTTCCTCAGGCAGATTGTTTCTTGGCCTTGGTGCCCGACAGCAAACACTGCTGTGTGTCCCCTTCAGTTTGCAGCGGGGCCAGGATGCTGTTATGTACCTACTGTAACTTCTTATTGAGCCCTGTCTCTCCCTGAGGCAGCACACAGTGTACAGACTGCACTTTATGTGTATGTGTGTAACAGTCTCACCTGGCCCGGTGCTGTCAGGTTTGTCTGAGGTGTCGGTGCTGGAGCACGTCTCCTCTCCCTGTGAAAGGAACACACAAAGATTTGACTGAAGAGAAATATACAGGACTTTACGATGACTTATTATTTATTTCAGAAGGATTTTGTTTATCATTTTGGGTTATGATTGGGCACTACGGTTCAAACGCATATCAATACAAGTATTTTCTTCAAGACAACATGTTCTTCTCATTTTCAGGTTCATATTTGTATGTAGTGTCTGTACTGGGACATGTCTCCATGCTTTAATGTTCAAAAAGCTCTTTATTTTTCTCATACGGCCTGTGCTGCAGCACCTCTTTTCACCCTCTGTCTGAAACCAGAGCCCAGTCTGCTCTGATTGGTTAGCTGACCAGCTCTGTTGTGATTGGTCATCCGCTTAAAGATGTCCCGCCCCTTAGCCTATCACTCACAATGTGTTGAAGCGCTAGCCAATAGAAGTGTGAGTGTTCCGTAGTGATGTCATTATGTTAAAGAAGTAAACAAACATACAATAATGATATATGTTGACATCATTAAGACAATGTATTCAGTTACGGCCCAGTCCTACCTTTCTCTGCACAAACACAAAAACTGTTTTAATATTAATACTATTGAAACAAAAGGAGGCCTAACTTATATTTTCTTTGTACCGATACCTGACTTTGTACAGCTTACATTTGCTAATTAAATTGATCATACACAATTAAAATAATATTCTTCTTTAACTACAAAACACATGTATAACCATACATTAAATAGCTTTAGGTTTAGTTGAATACTCGATTCTGATTGGTCAATTCAGAACACGTGACACGTTAATACCGAACAGACAGACCGCTGTCAAGGACTTATTGACCATTGTTAAGGACGCTCACATCTGCACAAACAAGTCTTTTCGATTTAACTGTATACAGTTTGGCAGAAAAGCAAACTGCATGCAGTTTGCTTTTCTAACTGACAAGACAAGAGCGACAAGAAAACAGCGGAGAAGTAACGGGCAGAAATCCTCCTTTTTACGCAGCGGTCCAGACATAGACATCAAACGGCGACACATATTCAGTTGCCAGTTACTTTGGCATTAGGGCAGGGATATCTAGATACTTTCCAAGGTTTGAGATAATGAATTGTGCTACTTTTAAAGCAAGCAGCGATGTTTTCAAATCTGTAATCAAAAAGCTCCTCAAAAACGCTATCGAAGCAGTTCCTGCCGTTGCTACGTTAGTTCAAACAGTAACAACGGACTATTTTTCTTAGCGGATGCATGTCAATTTAAATCAATACANTATTTTTTAAATCAATAAAATCATTTTCTAAATCCATAAAAGCATTTCAATTAATAGTGGGAGTCATAACGTTACTTTGTTGAGAATGAGGCCATGTAATAAGCGGGATAATGTGCAGCGACTTGGTCATTATGGGGAAAAGAACCCCTTCATGCCGATCTAGATTCCTCCGCTTCGCGTCGGGCTCCTGATCAGCCTGTCGGTGTTCTTTTCCCCATAATGACCGCGTCGCAGCACATTATCCCTTACGTGTTGTATTGTGTGTGGTAATTAAGTATGTTTAAAGAGGCCCTATCATGCTTTCTGTAGGTTTTCCCTTTCCTGTA